CGAGCCAAAACCAGTAACTCTCTACGTCGACAACAAATCTGCAATAGCACTGATAAAGAACCCGGTGTTTCATGGACGCAGCAAGCACATCGACACTCGCTTCCACTTTATTTGCGAGTATGTCGAGAATCGACAGATCGTCGTGGAGTTCGTAAGCACCGGAGAACAACGTGCGGATATTCTTACCAAGGCTCTAGCAAGAGTTAAATCTGCGAAAATGCGAGCGCTACTTGGCGTAAACAACTTCGAACCAAATCAAGCTTACGGGGGAGATTGTGAGACTAATCTTGAATTGGTAATTTGAATTGATTACATAATTAGTGGCTTCATAATAGACATGAGTTGATTAGTAAAACAAATATAGAAGATATGATAATAACATTAATTTTGAATTAAATATAGGAGATATGGCAATATCATTAATTTTGAATTTGAATCTTAAATTCAAATTCAAAATTCAAATATGTGTAATCAATTCAAATAGGCGCGAATTGATGACACTTAATTCTCTTGCCTTTATTATGTACGTTTCCTGTTTTGTTTCGGTATGTCTTAGTTAGTATAAAATTGGGTGTTGTGTTGTATTGTAAAACACCTAGACTTGTATCTTTTCACTCCTTCAAAAATAATAAAAGAGAATTCCCAAAAGTCCAATCTCATTTTTCGATTTGTCCTTTAGCGATCCATTAAATTGGAACCAACAATGGAGTCATACAATTCAAGAACGAACTGTGTAACATCACTATGAAGAATCAATTAATGACTCAATACCTTAACCAAATCAAAAATCTCTTCGATGACATCTTTGTTGCAGGTTCTACAATTGCCACTGAAGATATCATATTGTACATTTTTAAAGGTCTACCACCCACATATCAAGCCTTTAAAACATTTATTCACACAGCTCACACCGATCATCCTTGAAAACCTATATTCTTGGTACTTGGATTACGACGCCACCACGCATCTCACTGCAGATTTAGACAAACTTCAACAACCGAAACACCATCAAGGCAAAGTGTTCGTTGGAAACGTCGAATCCATTCCTACACAAAATTTCGGCAAAGGTATCCTTCCAACACCCACTTGTAAGCTTTCTCTTTCAAAAACTTTAGACAATCCATTCATATCACGCCATTTTTTGTTTATTTCTTAGCTAGCAACAGACAATAACTGCTCCATCACCTTCTACTCTCGTGGATACATCATCAAAGATCAACAAACTCGCCAGACACTTCTTCAAGATCCTTGTCCAACGGACTGTATCCTGTGACTTCTTCCAAAACAAGCACTCCTCTCAACAATCAACAACACCGATATTTGGCACAGGCGCTTTGGGCATGCCAACCATCAATCCATGACGATCATCTCCAAAAAGATTCCACAATTTTGGATCTCCAACAAACATTCCTACTGTGATCACAATTACAAATACAAACCTCTTGAACTTGTTCATTCCTGATGTGTAGGGACCTTCCCCCACATCCTTCCTTCCAAGGATACAAATTCTAAATAATTTTTTGTTGCCGATCATTCACGGTATTCTTGGATATATCCTATGATATAAAAAAACTAAAGTTCTCTCCTATTATTTTAAAATTTAAAAGATAAGTTGCTTTACAATTCAATACTAACATTACGACTCCTAAAACGGATGGAGGTGGGAATATAAGAATCATATGTTTATCCAATATCTCAATAATAATGGCATAATATGTCAAACATCTGGCTCATATACACCACAACAAAACGGATTAGTAGGAAGAAAACATAGACGGATCCTTGACACTACTAGACCTCTTCTAGCTTGCTCACATCTTCCACCTTTCATCTGGCTACAAACTATACTCAAGACAACCCATCTAATAAGCCGAGAATGCCCTCTAATAATACCAATAAAAAGTCTCTCTGTCAAATTCTACACAAAACGACACAAGTATCATCACTTGAAAGTCTATGGATGTGCTTGCTATCCCTTGATCTCTCTTGCTCAAAGAAACAAACTTTGCCAAAGAACTATACCTTGCATCTTTATCGGGTATCTAGATGATATCAAAGGGTATAAATGTTTCAATCCAATCACTGGGAAAACTATTGTCACTAGACATGCCATTTTTAATGAACATATATTCCCTTACTAATCATTTGTCATCACATCTTCCAACCATAATCACTCCTTCATAACTCCACCTTTTACTTTGATACCAACATTCATCGGTCACAACGATCATAAACCATCTCGGCCATCTTCAAATTCTACAACTATTCCATCTATACCCACTATAGCATTACAAACTTCATCTTCCACTGCTCCTCCCACACGTCACAGTATCTCGCTATCACCTATTCGATGTCATGTGATTACCAGATCTAAATCTGGTCATTTACCACCTAAACACACCTACAATCTTTTTCACACATCTACTCAACAACTTGAACTACTCACTTACAAACAAGCCATCTATTCACTGACAAAAGGCAATGACTAAAGAACTTCAAGCCTTACAAAATCAAGGTACCTGGACTCTCGTTCTCGCACCTTCTAAACCAAAATTCTTGGGATGTAAAGTGACTTATAAAATCAAAGGAGATGTGGATGGTTAGGTTGCAAGATATAAAGACCATCTTGTAGCTCAAGGTTATCAACAAAAATATGGGCTTAACTACAAAGAGACATTTAGCCCTATAGCTAAACTAACTACTATTTGTGCCCAACTCACAGTTGCACTTCTTCAACCATGACCCATTCTTCAATTAGACGCCCACTAACTGAAACCATTTATATGCGGCAACCTTCAAGTCATGTTAATGATAAGCTACCAGATCATGCTTGCCTCCTTAAAAAAGCAATCTACGGTCTTAAGCAAACTGCTAGACAATGATTCAACCTTTCACCAAGTATCTAATTACCTATGATTTGAAATACAGTCAAGCCGATCCCTCTTTATTACTCTTTCACCACAATTCAATTTCAACTTACAATCTTCTTCATGTAGACGATATTTTGCTAACAAGAAACAATACAAAGTTCAAGCAATATCTACTTCACGATCTTCACAACAAATTCTCCATGAAAAATCTAGGGACAATCTCTATGTTTCTCTGCATTAACATTCCACATACAGCTGATGGAATATTCTTATCACAATAACATTACATCGAATACATCCTCGAACAAGCTAGTATGACTAATTGTAAAGCGTTTCCCAATCTGTTATACTCATCAAACAGCTTCCTGTCGAGGCATCAAAAACCATTCAATAATCCTGAATTATATAAGCATCTTGTGAGATCCCTTCAATGTATCACAATCACAGGTCCGTGCATATCATTTTCAGTTAATCAACACTCACAACATCTTTATCAGTCTCTATGCACCCACTTTCAGCAAATAAAATGTGCCCTATTGTATATTCTGAATATTGTAAATCCATAACTAGCTACTGCTCTTATACAACCTGATTTCTGGAAAGTAAAAAAATCAACCAACTGTTGTTAAGTCTTCAAAAGAAGCTGAGCACGACCACGGATGTGATCAGGCTTAGACGACTACTACAAGAATTTTAAGTGACCCATTCTCAACCTACTACCATGTACATTGTGAGAACATCTAAGCAATGACACTGGCTCAAAATCCTGTGTTTCAAGCTAGAGCCAAATACATCAAGATCAACTACCACTTTGTGCAAGAATGAATTCAGTCACAAGAAGTTGACATGGCCTACATACCTCTTGAGCAACAGCCGGCAGACATTTTTACAAAAGCTATACCACCATAGTTTGATATACTCTGAAACAAGCTGACATTAACCTCAGTTAATATCAGCTTGAGGTTAATATCAGCTTGAGGGGTAACGATAACACAGCAAGAGGATGAAGCGCTGAACCGGTTCACACGGTTCAAGACATGTCCGGTTCATGTAAGATCTGGGCAACAGCATTTAGCCGTTCCTTATCCCTTGTACATATTCTACATATATATACATGTGCGTCAATCTAATTAAATATTGAAGAAAGAATACAAGGTTTGACAGATTAGTTCTCTGCCTACTATACGTGCCTCTTCCTTTTCTTCTTTTTGCAGAGCTCTCATTCGTTTCAATAACAAGATCATGGAGTGAAAAATGAGCTGATGCATGTTTTATGATATATTATTATTCTATAATGGCCTCGAATTACACAGATCAGGAAAATGTTGTACTCATCCGTATATACAAACCACATTTACTCTAATCCTCAACTCAGAATCAAAGGCATCGCATTATCCATTCAACTATTGCTGATGATATAAAAGATTAATCTATTCAGAAGTCATAAATCATGCAGTGAACATTAATTATTTCAAGCTCATTTGTCATAAAAGAGAGTTGAATTCAACTTACGAAACATCCATCAATGCCCAAAGGCTGCAAGTCTGCAAATGATCACACGTCCCCGCCAGCTCAAATGAAGAAGGGATAAAGTCCATCCAAAATTACATTGAAAATTAATCTTGAAAAAAAAAACTGGTATCCTGTGCATTAATTAGTTAATGTGAGGGCTTGGTCAAAACCTTAGTGATGGAATGGATTAATACTCCAATTGGACAGAAAAGTAGGCACAAACAGACAGAATGCCGGG